ACAAAAACGGTACGGTCCGCGCAGTTTTATTTGTATTTTGATTTCTGGTTCTCCTCCGCCTGTCCAAACTCCGGGAAGCGGCAGCAGCGCGTACAGAGCGCCGTGCTCGGCCGTGCTCGGCCGTGCTCGGCCCGGCCCGGCCCACACTGCCCTGCCCAACCCTGCCCTGCGCCCGGCGCCACCGCTCCTCGCCGCTCCCACCGCACGCTCTGCCGAGGTGACTCCTTTGACCAAATTTAGCAGCGCCTCGTCATTAACATTCTGATACATATTCACAGCGGCCGGAAGGCCACCGCCCGCGGGGCACCCTGGGAGCAGTAGTCCTCTCGGGAGGCTGCCTCCCCGCCCCTCGCGCGCGCGCCTCCGCCCGCCGGACTTCCCCTCCCGTCGGGCACCGCGGCGCTTCCCGCCCCTCTCGCGCGCCCCCCTTCTCGCTCTGCCCACGAAGGGCGTCGCCGGCGACCAATCAGCGGCGCCCTCGCGTTAATCGCTGTTCTGTATTAATGCCCATCATTTCGCCGCTGACAAATGAGCACAGGGGCTCTGAGATAGAGGGCGGGGGGGGGGGGTGGTCCCCACGTGGGAACCTGACGCCTCGCGGGCCCGCGACCAATCAGGCGGCAGCCCGGGCTTCTCATCTTCTGTTTCCCCGCCGCCTGAGGCGGAGCTTTGAGATCGCCGCCGTTCCATAGCGCCGGCGTTCGAACAGGGGAAACATTTGTTCAGCTGTCAATCAAAGTAACGTGGGCTGGTGTCGGCTGCCGCGCTGCTGCTCCCGCCGCGTCCTGCGCGCGGGGTGGCGGCGCGGCGGGAGCGGGGACCGGGGAGTTGTGGGGTGGAAGTGGGGGTGCGGGAGGGGCGGCCCTGCCCCCGCCCAACCCGGCGGCAGCCGCCTGACCGTGCCCGCCGAGAGGGCCGCGCGCTAACGAGGGGCGGCGGCGCCTGAGGGCGGTGAGGGCGAGCCCCGCCGGGCGGGCGGCGCGCACCGATCGCAGAGTTGCCGGGGCCGCGGAGCTCCGCGCCGGGCTGAGGCGGGTGGTGCTGCCCTCCCGCGGGGCTGGTGCGGCAGCCTCAAGTGGTGCGGGACTGGCGAAGGCCTCTGCCCCGCGTTCGGCGGGTCACCGCGCGGACAGAATGCTGTCAGATACCGTGGTCTAGCGTCACGCGCTGCTCGCCGCCGTCTTGTTTTTCTCCTCTACCCCGCAACGTGGCCGCGGCAGGCGGAGATGGGTCATGTTTGTAGTTGCCGAACGTGACATAATTTAAGTCTTCTTCCTGCCGGCTGTACTTAAGGGACAAAATCTGCTCTTGGAAGTGGCTCCGGTGAAAGGATGTTATTCTCAGCTTCTCTCAAGAGTGAGGCTTAAAGATCTGACCTTTACACGATACATTCTGAAGATATGTTGGCATTCAGAGAGGGCATTTTCTGTCAGTATCCAATGGGCAAAGGATTGCTGGATCCAAGGGCCAGGGTTTTGCAGGTACAATAAGAGTGTCTATAAAATACCTGTGAGAAGGACTGCATCTGGATCTGAGGAACCGCTCGGCCGTGGTCTCATCACCTTCTGTGGGCTGCAGGCCTCAGGAAATGCGCCCCTGGCGCCGCCCATCACATCTCAGCACTCAGACACTGCAACAGGGGAGCCTCATTTCCCAGAGAACAACGATGCTGTGCCGAGTGGTGCTGTGTCCTAAAAGGACCCTTTGGCAGCTTTCTGCCAAGCCCCGTTGCAGACAATGCCATGCACTAATGCACATGCGAGCGATAGGCTCGGAATTTTTCCCTGTCTGCACCTGTCATGCTTGAATTTGCCTTCAAGCAGTTTGTATTCCTGATGAGCAGGAGTTTAAACCTGCATACAAAATAGATGCGGTTTAGTCACGTCATTCTCATTGCCTGTTTTCCAAATCTGTAGTCTCAAAACTTTCAGTCGGCAATTAATGCTCTAATAATGGTAGCTAAATTACACATAGCTAGTAGCTAGTCTGCTAGTAGCAGAATCTCTTTACCATTCCTGGTGCCCTGGATGAGGCCTGCAGCTGTGGAGCAGCCCAAGGTCTTGACGGAACATTCCACGATGGTTGTACTTTGCTCACCCAACCTCTGAAGGCTGGTCCAGTGCTCAGGGCCGCTGGGTGCTGGAGCAGAGTGAGAGTGGTGACAGCATCTGTCTACCTGTTGGAGGTGGTGATGGCATCAGTCTTCCACCAGGGTTCAGGAGATGCGGGACAGAGACTTGTCTTTCTGTTTTGAAGTAGAGTGTGTAACCAGGCTCTGCTTCCAATATGGTGCTTGCTAACTGACCACTATGTGTTTTGTGGTGAGTGATTCTGAAGCCATTTTTGTCTATAATAAATCATTGAGGAAAGGGACCAAAATATATCCTTTCCGCATTTTGTTTTTCTATGACCAAAAATACATCATTAAGCATTTAAATACTCCCTTCTTCTTTGTCACAGAATTCATTTCCACTGGAATGTTCACATTTGCAGGGATTACAATAGGTGCTCCAGTGGGTATTAGGTCTCTAAATATCTTCTGAAGATACAGAGGTAAAACACGTGCCTAATTGTGAAAAGAACGCTTTGCATATATCTAAAGCTCCCTGCACCAAAAAATACTTTTAAAAGCTTGGTTGTGAGTGTTGTTCACTAGTCACTGCTGCTCTTTCATCTCCTCTGAAATGGAGGATGTTCATGTGCACCAAGATCAGGTCTTGACTTTCAGAAGTATGACTGCACAGTCTATAAATGCCTGTCACCCGGGTGCTCAAAAGCTTCTCGAGAGTAGAACTGTTATGGGGTTCTGCAGGGCTGTATGCATCTCTGGAAATACGATGAGCAGATTCAGCATGTAATTTTAGGATCAGATCCTCAAGATGGAGAAGGACTAATCCAGTTATAAAATAAATACTCTGTCTGAAGAAACTGAATTCTGAAAATAACAGCAGGGTTTTTTGTTCTCTTAGCCCTGTCTTAGATTTGCTGGTCTGAAAGAAAAGGTATTCAACACCTTAGCAGACAAACGTATGCAGCTTTTCTGACAAAGCAGTCCCTTTTCTTTTGGAGGGCGCTTTGCCAGTGATGTTCAGATAAGCTTCAGCACTGTTCACTCTCGTTTGCCCATTAGTCTTCAGTGAATTTATGTCACTCAAGGAAGGGCAGAACTAGGTTTGCTCAGCTCTAGCAAAATATGTATGTGCATACTTAACTCTTTATGGAACAGATCAGTGGGGTTTTGCACAGTTCTGCAATGTTCTGCAAGAGCCACAAAACTCAGAACTTTAAGAGAAAGTGCTTGCCAATTTTAAGTGATGTAAATTAAGATTGGAATGTCAATGTCATTCTATTTTCCTGTCTTCTGTCACTTCTGACACAGCCTTGATGGATCTTTAAATATAGGTGGTTTTGTATTTAAAGTTACTTGTTTTTTCCTTCTTTTATTAAAAAAAAATCTTTTATGGTAGGTTATATAACCCTGTACTATTATTTAGCAAGTAGAGAAAGTAGTTTTTAAATGTTTTACACATCTTGCTAAAGATTTCTCATAAGTGAATCAACTGCAAGAAATATTTAGGCAGCTTTATAGGCACAGTAAGTGTATTGAGTTTTAACCGGTGTAAAAAACCCTCATGAAATATCACATACTAATTTGGGGTTGCAAAATATCTCATCCATTGTTTTCTGCTATGAACTAGTTATTTCAGTCATATTAATTCAGAGCTGATCTGCTTTTATTTACATACAAAGTCAAAGATCGAAACTGAGTAGAACAGAGTCTATGTATGTTTATGTGTATATCACAGGATAGGTAAGAAAGACGTTCTATTGTCCAGCTGAAATTTTCTAACCTACTCTCTGGTGATCTTTGTGCTGTTGAGCCATGGCTTTAATACTAAGACTTAACAGTGCCAGAGAACCTTTAATAACAAGTGCAATTCTGAGGCCATTTTTATGTAATACTACAGATTTCCTCTTTGGAATGACTGTAGCTGACTGTAGTTGTGCCTAGTACTGCAACTTATTACAGTTTATTTTGGAACTGTGCTACTAGGTCACCGTGCTTTATCAGCTGTGTTCTCACAAGTACACATGCACATACACACACATTCACAAAAATAAAGGTGTTAAACTCTTTGATGAATCAGTCAGTTCAGAATGCCTTGTACTAGTTCCTACGTTAGTTTACTTAACTTCACTCTGTAACAAACATTCAAAAAGATAAATGCAGGGAGATTTTCTGTTGAATTGGCACTAAGTTCTCTCTGCTTAAAACTTTTAATTATGGTGTTAAGCCAGGTTTTACAGGTAGAAGAATGTGACAGCATGACACCTGTTTTGCATTCTTCTGTTTTACAAGCGCTACCAAGTGACCTTGTCTCAGTATGGTTTTAAAATGATCACTGTAGACAACTTTCTAAATTAGTCGTTACTGACCTTAGGGGTATG